AATATTCCCATTGAAGTTTCTGCTTTGAGTCAGAAATATGTCATGACAGTCTTAAATCTCAAGTAGATCACTTGTTTGTATGTTTGAACTGACATAAGGTAACTAAAAACCGTGGTACCAAATCGTGGGGAGAAAGTCCAAGAGAGTCAGTTGAGGATGCTAGGAGATGAACATGGAGATTGCAGTATGGAAGCTGGTAAGAGAGACTTTCTTCCCTGGATGGAAGACATTGAGAGAGAGGTGAATAGAGATAGGAGGTTCTTGGAAGAGTTTTGAAGGACAATTAGACGAAATACTAAAGCAGAATAGCAGCAGGTAGTTTTTTGTCAGTAAGGAAAGAAAGACAAACAGTGTTTAATAAAGTATATGCAATAAAGACAAGACAAAAAAAAAGAGAAGTTCCCCTTTTTGTGGGGGTGGAGGAGGGTCTTTAAAGAAGGAAGGTAGATAAATAAGGAGACAAGAACTAGGAAGTTATTGAGGAAGAAAACGTTTGAAGAAAAAGGATAGTGGGGGGGAAAAGGCACAAAAATGTTTTATCTAGGTTGATGACTATTTGATGTCTTAGAATTCAAGATAATAGACATAAGGATAAGTAGCTTTTTGAGCACTGATTAATGTGAATGTTTTTGTGCATCTTATTTGGATTGTGTCATTCCATAATTCAAATTGTATTGCATACTACCTATCTTATTTAGGCCTTTTCTTCCTGGGTATGCTGACATACCTATGGAGTGAACATGGTGTGACATAATCTTAGAAAGAGAATGTCCCCTTCTTGAGAGGTGCTGATGCAATAAGTAGAACAGATCTAGGTGGGGATCTAACTGCTTGGGGGTGGGTGTTATACTGCAGATAAATGCAGAAATAGTTGAAAGGAGGCAGGAGTTTTTCTGAAAGGCAGTGTCTAAATTGCCATTTTTGAAGTGATTCAGTATTCTGAATATCTTAAAATGTTCCAACTGGAGAATATCTTCAATCCCCTAACAGAGATTCACAAGAAAAAATTCAAGTTTCCTTTCCTCTTAAAAGTGAACTGCAGAATATTGCAAGCACAAAAAGTTACTGTGGAGAGTAGTTCCCCTGTCCTTCTAATTTCAGAAATTAATTATATTAAATGTCAATAATTAAATATTTCAGTAGTGTAGTATCTTGTAGTCAGCTTCATTTCTGGTGATTCATCAAGCTTTGTCTGCATTTAAAGAAAAAAGGAACCCGTTGAAGGGTGTAAGTTGAAGTGGGGGGGGAAAAAACTCATGAACTCACTCATACTTTTGTAGCGATGCACTAAATATGCTGGTCTGTAATATACATCAAGACTGGTGAAATCTTTCTAAAGAGACAGCTCTTCTACTTTCAGTTGCTGTGAGATACCCTCCAAAACTCACTGTACTTTACACAGCTACATGTTTGCAAATGGACCTGCCTGAGGTATCTGTTTCCATTTCCACTTAGCAAATTAACAGTCAGAGCCACATATGTGCTTGCTTCCCTAACCTGACGCAACCTCTGTGTGTGTGATGTCCTTTCTGCTTTGTGGGATGAAAACATAGAAAGGGAAACACATGGAGATTGTGGCTTCACTGAGTTAAGCAAGGCCTGTTGGGGGGGGTGGGGGTGGGGGGGGGCAGAATTCCTGCTGTTGCCTGACTAAGGGTACCAAGTTTTGAAATTCCAGTGCTTTGAAATTGCAGCCAGGGAAAGGTAAATTTGTTCTTAGCTGACGACTGCAGAGCATGAATCAAATAATTGTTTGCAGTTCTGATTATGAACTTCTGAAGATTTTCTTTTAGTTGAGTACGATATTAGAAATGAAAATGAGATTTTCCTCAGTGAGGAGTAAGGTGTGTATCTGGAATGTAATCTATCCATTAATTTTGCATAAGGGTAAGACTGAGTTGCTAGGACTTGTTTTCTAGGAAAATGGTGTGTGATTTTAGAAACATCATCTACTATCTTTTCCATTGCTTCTAAAATGATGATACACAGACCTTGCTGTTTGGGTTTAAAACAAACCGAGGAAAGCTGAATAAATCTGACTCTGTAAGTGTCTGTATTATCTCTGTGTGTAATCAGTGTGTAGGAACAGGCTTGGACTGTGTAGAGCAATTGGTGCAGTAATTAATAAACCCACTGGACCGTGAATGTGTGAGAGAGCAACTTGCTGCTGATATAGATAGCATATCTATTTTCTTAAATACTATTTTCTTAAATACTATTTCAATTTTTTTTTTTAAGCTTTGCGTCAGGGAAACAATATCATACCAACTGTAGTTGGTATGATATTGATTTTGTGGTTTTATTCTTTTCATTAGAGTTTGTGTAAGGAGTGAGATAGCAATCCTTTGACTTAGTAATTAAAATCAATTGTTTATATGACTGTATGTGTTTACTCAGTGCTTCAAAGCAAATACGTGCTCTTTAACTTGTTTTCTGCAGCATCTTTTTAGTTTCCTCTGTGCACACACCTTCCTTCCTGAAACAGTGGCTGTTTTCTTTTCTGAAACTAACACTGTGAGAGCCCAGAGTGGTGCTAATCATGAGGCAGTGTGAATGGAGGATAGCTTGCTTTCTGAAGATTTGACAACCTTTTGTTTTCAGATATTAACGCATGCTTTTATGAAGCTTTTAAAATAAAAGATGATAAATGCATTATGCTTTTTCAGAAGATGTGCGTTTTGACTCAAGAGTGAGTCCTGTCTGAGTTGTGGATCGGTGAAGACAATGGCTTGTTAGGAAGCAGAGCTCAATTCTGCTCAATAGAAAGGTTATTGACTTGAACTGCACACCGATAGTGACTGCTTATGTGGATATATGAATAACAGACATTTGCATTTTAAATCTGTCTGGAAGCATCTTGGGGGCATCTTATTTTTCCTCCATTTTAAAAATCTGGCTAACACCTGTAATTAAGGGGGAAAGCAGAGCCCTGGAAGCGAGGTAGGACTTGCAGCCATTGATCTGTGTAAACCCAGCTTACGCTGTCAGGGGAAAAGCAGTCAACTGCTGAGCTGCTTTGTCACTGACATAAGCTGGGAGAGGATTTTTTTTTTTGTCTGTGCTGTTTATACACCAGTCTATAGACCTGCTGGCTGCTTGAATTTTAAAGAGCGGAGAGGTTTAAAGACCGCTCCCTGAGGGATGCTGCCGCCAGTTGGGAAGCGAGCGGGGCCGCTCTGCAGGAGCTGAGCGTGTGCCGGGGGCGGCGTGAGGCCTTGCTGTCCTGTGGCCGGAGGCACGCGTCGTCTTTGGGTCACCGGCTGGGCTGCTGAGCTGCCCCTGGGCTTGGGGCTGGTTCTTCCTGTGGGATCGTTTATTCTGAGGGATGCGCTGGGAGGCTGGAGTGAATATGTTTCTGTAACCTGTTCTGAATCGTTTCTGAGATCAACAGGCAGCAAGCCCAACTCTCAGTAGTATGGAGAAAAGAACTTACTATAGTGTGATTATAGGTGCAGATTTGGAAGGAGAATTTGAGTTGAGATACTGAGGTCCCTTCCCAAAGCACACCGCGGTGTGCTCAGACCCCTCTCCTTCTGTGCTGGGGAAGCTGGATTCTCAAAGATTTCTTGAGCTCCCTTACGTGACATAGAAACTCTTGAAAATTGATTTCTTCATTCTGTACTATTAGTTCACATAGTGGAGCATCGTGTATCTTTAAGATGTTGCAGCTAACAATGTGTGTTGTATTTGAAGGATTCATTTCTGTCTCTTTCTTTCCCTGGACTTTTCAGCTCTCGCTGATTAACTTCCATGGGTTCTTTGTGTTTTACACTTACAACTGTTCCAGGCAGATGTTTGGAGCAAATAGTCATTGTGTGTGGGAATTTCAGTACATAGCTTCCCCTAATGGAAGCTGGCTGCTCAGCGCACAGTTGAACAGTGTTCAAGCAGGAGGGTACTAACATCCTTGATCCAGTTCTTAACCCCATCTGCATCTCTGCAGTCTGCTTGCCTTTTCCTGAGTGTGTGCACCTCGCAGGATGCCTTTATAAGCTCCAGCGTAGCCAGTATAGTCCTGTTGTTGGTCTCGTACAAAGAGAGAACCCTGTAGCTGTGCTGACCCATACAAATGCCATCTCTTGTCCCTTCTTAGCTCATGCGTGCCACAGAAGGTTTGTTTCCCAAGTTGAGTGTGACTGTTGGGAAAAACTGCTATTTCTGGGATCCTGTAAGATCGCTTTAATAATTTCTACTAACAAATCTGCAAATCACTTTTTCACCTAATGAAAAATTTTTACTAGCTTGGGAGCATTTTTATATCATAATTTATACCTTTATTTTTCACTAAACAACTTAGTAAATGCTGTGAGAGAGAGCAATGCTATTATATTATTGTACAAATATAGCTCCATCAGATTCCCTCCCTTTCCCTTTATGAACAGAGTTGCTTTCTTTTGAAAACCAAAGGGTTAATCATATAAATATCTCTCTTGGACCAGCAGAAGATTTCCACAATTTTCAGCGTTTGACCATGAGACATGTATAGAGTCGTTATACCTCTCTGTAATTCATTCTGCTGCCAACTTCATTCCCTTTTCTCTGCCTGCATTTTAATTGAAACAACATTTGTATTTTTGAGCCAGGATCTGTCAGAAGTCCCTGTGGCTAGTCTGTGGTACAAGTAGCAGCAGACGTGGCTTACCCATATGGTGTGGTGCTTCTTGTAAAATCCATATGGCCTTGTTGAGGGGAATCCCAGCGGGGATGTGAAGGGTGTTAATACCCTTCAGGCCAGGCCTTTCCCTCCTGGGGCTTCTACGGCATTGTCTTTGCAATCTGCCGAAGCACAAACTTAATTCCTTTTTAATAATCAATTATTTCAGTCCAGGAACGTGTACTGTATTTTTTTTTTTTTTTGCAATCATATGTTCCTCAAGTTTATTATTATTTTCTATGAATATTTCTGGATATTTGTTTTAAACCAATCTTCAGGGGAACTGCTAGCAAACAGAGATAAAAGCCTTTTCAAAATCCTAACCCTGTTTCCCTTGCATTTACAGGAAGTGCTGAACAGTGTTCCAAAGTTCTGCTTTCCTTTTGACGTCGAAAGGTATGTTGCAGTTATCATTGATTTAAACATTTTATAGGAAAGGGTATTTAGTGTGATAACAGGGAAATATTTAAAGGACAAATAAAAATACAGTACAGAAACATGCACCCATGGATGAACATCACAGCAAAACACAACTTTTCTGGAGTTGTAAGGGTATGTCTTTCAGGATAGAGCAATATTCCGCCTCTTGATTATATTTACTCCTGTAAATTATATATGCTCCTGTGTAATTGTTAACGTCTGTGTTACTATCAGCATATAATACAGTTTTGTTCAAGCAGCAGCCATCATAAAGTCACAAGTCTTTAGGATATAAATACCAGTACTGAAAATGTGTAGTTTGAGTTCAGAGAAATTAAAACTTTAATTACATGGAAGTAACTGAATGTGCAGCTGATTTTTCTTAGAGTAGACTTAAGAGCTAATTAATAATACATAATAATCTTACCTTTCTGGTATCCATTACAGTGTGGCATCCGTGTAATGATGCAATAATTTAAATGGTTTGTATAAAAATTTTATTAATTAAAACACTTATTTGAACTTGTCAAACTGATTAATGGTAATTAATCTATCACGCTCGCTTCTAAAACTTGCATTGTCCGAATCAGCAAAGATGGAGTTAAAAGCGTGATTTGCATAAGGAAGAAAGCTGCAGGCGGTAGGCAGGCTGAGCCGGCTGCAGGGCAGTGTTGGCAGCGCTGTGAGCGAGAGCCCTGCAACAGCGACTGGCAGTGTAGTGTCAGTAGTGTGGTGCAAGGCAGGGAGGGAGGCTTTACAGGAGAACATGGCACGTACAGACTGTCATAAGCACAACTTCTCTGAAGAAAACTAGGCTCATTTAGCCATATAGATGTTTAGTTGTTTGCATTTTGAACTGGCTAAACTTGCTGCCCTTCAAACTGTTTTGATGACCTAACCAGTGCTGTTCATGTTGGCTGTAAAACACTGAAGTCCTTAATGCGCTGGAGACATATGCAGTATATCTGTGTAAAGCTGATAAAGAAGATGAATAATGAAAATACAAATAGAGGATAACAGAAAAAGGTGAGGCTCCGCTGCTGCCATCCAGTGGCAAGAATTTTATCAGTGGCAGCAAATAATTATTTTCAAATAACTACTTCAGTGTTAGCTGTTTCTGTTTATTCATTCAGAAAGCACTTAGTTGCTTATATGAGGCTGATAAACTTAATCAGAATTCTGTGGGAATATATTACTTTAACTGAGTATCCAAATGATGGGGGGAAAAATGATACAAGTTATGTGATGTTTGTTGTTTGCCCTTTGTCCTTCTGCTTCCAAGTACTTTTTCACCTCCATATTTGACCAAAGAGCAGTGCTCTCAGACGGGAAACTTATATAATATCCATACACATTGGCAGTTGGACAGAAGCTGGGGTGATTTGTGGAAGCTGAGGTGCACGTTCCATTGACTGCTGACTGCTCAGCCTGCACGCAGCTGCCTCTGAAACCAGTTTCAGTACAAGTGGCTTCTGCTTGGCTGGGGTTGGGAGCTGGGCTGTTGGGACCTGTGAGGGAGTACAGGCAGTGTGGGGTCCTGGGAAGGGAAGGTACTTGGGCAGGGGAGGTGGGCTGAACTGCCGTGGGCAAAGAGACAGAAGTACTGGATGCCCATGCAAGAGTGTCTGCTGCTCTTAACTGTTTGGGAGGAATAATTTAGGGCTGTGTTGTGTTTATGCTATTCAGTTCAGACATTTTCTACTGTAAAGGCATGTTGCCACTTGAAAATAAACAATACAAAAACTGTATAGTTGTCTTTTACTTTCCTGGAGTTGGATATTTTTGTTTTGAAAAGTATGGGACCAATGCAGACAAGTATTGATAAATATGTTGCTGTAACTCCTTTCTGTGTTTGTTTTATTTTTAAAAGAATGCTGTAGGTGTGACAAACACCTAGTTTTTTTCTAGCCATAAACATGCTTTTCACTTGTCTGCTGAGCATTTATTTTCTCGCAGGGAGAACAACCACAGACCATACAGTGAGTGCCCCCAAGTATTTTACAGGCAGCTTCAGTGGCAAGTTCTGTACAGAAAGCTTTCATTGAAGAGAAAAGCCAAGTTTCTATTTCACAGGTTGAGCTCATTGTACTTTAGGGAATATAGTTTCTCAAACTGTATTGTGAGATCTATCAGTATATAAACCACTGAGAGCACTTTGTGATCCTTGTAAGAGCTAGGAAAGACTAGAGCAGAAGTGGTATTTCCACTGATGCTAGTGATTGAGGTATCTGGAATAAAAAAAAATGACTTCGTTCCATACTTTGCTTCTGGGCATTGTTGCATGCAGCGGAGTTTCAGGCAACAGTGTCCTTTTTATTAAATAGATAAACAAAACTCATTTAAATAATAAATCAATGTTCTTGAAATTATGAAAATAATGTAATTAAAGCCCTGTCAAATCCCAGTGGTAAGTCCATCGTCACATTTTCCTCTGCCTCACCTGTACTCAATTAGTGAATGAATTGAAAAGTGGATGAAGTGAGAATGTGTTTGATTTTGTTGTATTCACTATGCGGTGATCATGGACTAAGATCTGGATTTGATTCTATGTGATACTGCTTACATTATCTCACTAGAAATACAGACTTCCATTTGGATGTATGAAGTAGCCGTACACTATTTGTTTTAATTATCACAATTGCATACTGTGAATGGTGATTTAAAATCTGTGGGTAACTCCCATTAAATATAAGCTGAAAGTCAAGCCAAAAAGACACAATGGATGGCATGATGTGTTAACCATTACTTAAACTTTGAGATATATACATACATGTATATAAATAGAAAGCAAACACATAATTTTGTTACTAACACAGTACAGCTTACATTTTATGCTGAAGAGGATTAAGTACTGAATTCTGCCATAGAAGTTCTTGAGCATTTACCCCGAGAGCCTACATCTTTTTTTTTGCAACTAAATTGTTTTAGGATTCATGAATTACACAACTGCACAGTTTTTAAACTGTTCATTTGTTGATAGTCATGAATAAGTTCGCTTTTTCTCTGCTGTGGAATTCCTTTCTCTGTTTCTATTTGTAAGAAACAGGAGGATTGTACTTTTAAAAAATGTAGAGATTTTATCACTTCCTTCTAATATTTGCGAAGCTGATTTTTAAGTGTCAGAGAAAAACACCTTGTCTTTTTTGTTCTTTGTAACCTTCATGCAAACGCTACATGATTATTTTTCCTCTTCTTTCCCCTCAGTGATCTGTATTTTCACTCTCAACCTCAAACTCGTGTAACTTGCAGAGCCCCCACCTCACTCGCTAGCTGTGTTGGTAATTTTGTTGGATGATTGAGTGAGCATGCAGATGTTCTTCTCAGTCACAACTCAAAATCAATCTTAAATTTCACTGTCACAGTTTGACTCTTCAGTTTTTCTGCACTTTGATTCTCTTTCCTTTGTTCCCTCCTCCATAAATACTTCTGATCTCCCTTTCTTCTCCTCTGCTTTTTCCCCTTCAGGTTGTATTTCTTCTGTTGTTTGTGTAGTCCCTCTGTAGCCAAGACTTTGGAAGGTGTCTGTAGGACTAATATGGAGATAAGTGCCTTATTGATTTCACCTACTGTGCCCACCCAGTCACATGGTAAGGGCTATGTTGCAGAGCATAAGTGGCTCTGCTGCATGTGCTGTAGGAAGATTACTCGTTAGGTGTAGAGTATTGCTCAAGTACGTGAACTACTGTGCCTATTATTTAGCTCACAAACTATTCGAGTCAATGGCTAAACCATTTCTGTTGGTGTTTTGAGTAGCAATCTCTGGCTGTGGAGATGATTTGTGGCTTACAGAAATACTTAGTTAAAAAGTCAACAGATGAGAATAGAAAGTACTTAGCTAAGAATATATTTAACGTTTCAAGCTGTATAGATAAATTATAACATCTCCTGAACACTTGAGTCATTCCAGTCAATCTGCAGGATGAGTTAGAAACTCTGAAATGAAGTAGTAATCTTGTAAAACTGAGTTTTTTTTCACTCTATCTCATTGTATTATACACATATATGCCTACAATTTATATTATATATGAGAAAAATCTGTGTAAAGGCAGGAGGAACCCAAGTGGTGGAGTCATGATCACAGGGTGAGTTTAGAAGCAGAAACAATAGTTGTTGTTGGCGATAGTAATCAGTGGAAGAAAATGGCTCAAGCTGAGGTTGCAGAGTCCCCACTCCACCCCCATCAGCTGGTGCTTCCACCTTTACATCAATTCCAGCTTGAATCTCTTTCTCATTTTTCTCTGATTTGGGGAGAATTAGGGTCAGTGGTTGGTGTGCTTTACTTTTCAGTGTCAGATTTGGAGAAAAATACACTGAAATTTTTCAGTAGCAGTTGCCTGTAGTTAAGAACTGAGTAAGCTGAGTTAGTGAGTAAGAATTGTGCCTTGCTGGTCAAGCATATGTGTGTGACACACATAATTAATGTTACCTGTAACTTTGTGTTGTTTAAAAAATATTGACTGAAATCTTTTCTGCCATGCATGGTTTTTCATTGTTTGGAAACAGCAAAATCTCTCTGAAGTTCAAAGCCCTTTAGGAATTCCTAAGTGTGAAGGGCGATTCATTTCAAGCATACTGTGTCTCCTAAGTAGATAAATTTGGAAGAAGAGCAATTCTAATTAAGAATAAAGGATAAATGTGATGGTTAGACATATTGTTTTTCATTAGAAGAGATTTAATTCCTGCCTTAATCAGCTCTCTCAAGGCAGCCTTGAAATGCAGCCTGCACAATGGCTATAGTGTAAACAGAGTTCTTTAAAACAGCTCTTTACCTGCTCTGTGTGTACCAAAGAGCCTTTTCTGTATTCTGCTGATATTAGAAAATTTTTTAAAACTGCTTTTATTCATATAGTGAACTGTAATAGCCTTGAAAGAGCCCATTGTAGTCTGCAGAGTTAATAAGTGTTTACACACATTCTTTGCTACTGGTGATTTATTGTTGTTAAACTAAGATTAAATGTAAGCAGGCCATGCAGGAGCTGAAAGGAAGGGGGGGGGGGGGGGGGTGGGGGGAAGCAAGACAGAGGAATGAGGGAGGAGGAGGTCAGCGACAGTTTGCAGTAGCGTGCCTGTGCTGTCTCCCTGCAAGTGAGCAGGTTACTTGTTTTGAAGTAATCCACAGGCCTGAGTTCTGTTTAAAATAAATAAATTAAAAAAAATGTTGTGAATCTTGTTCAGTAGATCCTGTGCTCCATTGGAAAGTACGGGTAACATTTTGGTTGGGAAATTCTGGTAGGTAGGAATCGCGTTTATCTATGTTGATTTTCATCTTAAGGAAAATTGGTAGAAGCATCTTTGCTGTGATTTGGTAGTGTGGCCAAAGTCATGACTTGGCTTCAGAGGCATGGGACCTAAATACCATAGCTAAAACTTGTGCACATAAAAATATGCAACGGGTGTATTAAAACTATTGTGCTAGTGCTTCTTGAATGTTTTGTGTTGAGTTCAGACATTGACATTATCAATCTGTGTGGAAATACGCAGCCATCATTAGCTTGTTCTTCTATGGCTGGCATACAGTCAGTTTCAAGTCTGCTGAAGAGGGGCAAAAAAGCTGGCCTCCTTGCTGCCCTCAGGTCTTGCATGGAGCTTTTGAAGTAGCAACCTAGAGTGAAGTTGGTATTTGAAACTCTGATTAGAAAACATGCTGCAAATGACTGGTCTCTGGCTTTTGTTAGCTGTTCTTCTGAAGCAAATGAGACCAAATGCAAACTTGTTTGTGGAGGTTCAGCCTTGGAGCTTTTCTCATCTCGAGCATCCAGAATGTGCTGCTTGCAGCTCCTCCTAAAGTCTGTGGGATGCAGCTTTCAAGCTGGGCTGTTCTCACACCAACTGTGAAAATGCTGCATAGTCTCTCTTGAAGGGAAAATGTTGAGTTGGAGGTGGTGAGATGGCATTGGGATTGCCTCCTGCTGGACTGCCATAATTTGCCTGTGCTATTTTTAATAAAATCTCAGAATTAAATCATATTTGGTCTCATGCATTGAAATTTTTACATGTGCTTTAATTGCAGTACAGTATATTCTCCTTTGTCATCTTCCAGTGTTGAGAAGGGAGGAGATAAATGAAAGGAAGGGCTGCTTACTGGTGTTAGATTCTTTAGGCTAAGGAATTGTTTTTAAGCAATAGTGGAGCAGAGGCATACGGCATGTGTGTACACAGTACATAAAAAGCAAAGCCTGCATAGTGGGGCATCTATTAAGACAGCTTTTGTAAATAGCTTATCACATGTTTGACTGAGGTACTGTACCCTAGGTGGAGCACAGGGTGCTGGCAGTGCTGTTGCTGAGGGACTTTGCAACACTTGGCTGTGCGCAGACCTGAGGGTTTCAGTGGAGATTTGCCTCTTTATTCCTGAGAGTAATAGAGACTTGGATAGAAAATGGCTTTATTGGCATAGGAGTAATGAGACAATGTCACTGATGCTGTTGTGTCATATGTTATACGCAGGCAGCATCCTAGTTATCCTAAAGAACCTGAAAAAAAAATTAAGAGTGAGAGCCATCAAGCATTTACTAAAAGTAAAGAGCATACTAGGTTGGTTCAGTTGACTGAAGATATTTGAGGAAAATACTTGTAATGAATTGAGCTTTATTATCAAACTTATTCTTTAAAGTCTGTTAATGATGGTGGATTTCTAATGATCACATTGGACTAGATATATATTGTTCTGTTATTTGTGCTCAGGGCAGGCTTTTATTTCAGGCTAATCACTGTGGTTGGAAGGGATGTGTCCAAATGGAAGTAAGTGGGAGTTCGGAGAGTCTGGGCAGTGGCATCACTTGGCCGATCTTTGAGCTCTTCTCATCATCAATTAAGCATTTGCATGTGTCCCATTGTAAAAAACCCATTACCTTTGATCTCCTACCTTTTTTTCCTTCCCATGGGTAACTTTTTGCTTTTTATTTTGCTGAAGTTTTTTAAAAATAAACATATTGCAGGGGATAAATGGGGAAAAAAGTGCACTTGGTGGGAGATGAAAGATGGTTCTTAGATTCTGAAGGAATTCTTTTTCAGCCACAGGTGACATATGTTAACCATATTGCTCTCTAGCAGGTGCTTAGGCATTCTGCTGAAGATGATGTAAGAATGAGAAAATAAGATGGTAGAATTATAGTCAGAACTGCTGTGTTACCTTTCCAGAACTTCTACAGTGCCCATTAAAACTTAGCTGTATTTTACTTTTGACTATGCTATGCATTACCTCTCCCAATTGAAAATGCTGAGTCTACCTAAAGCTTATTTTTTTTTCTGGGAATTGTTGAAAAAGTGCAGTATGTTTTTCCGTGAATAAGGTTAAGATGTAATTTGTGTTCTTAAGTGCTTATATGGAATGCATTTCATGATTTCTATGAAAATGACCCAAGTTTGACCAGACTGAAAAGCCAGTTTTAAGCTTGCAATGTGCTTTGCTTTATGAACAGTTCTCTTCCCCTGTCTCTGTGATCTTGTAATGTTCTATTTTTTCTTTTTTTCCCCAAACTGAAGTCCCAACCATTCTAAATCTGTCTTTATAATTCAGCAGTTGCTTTCTCTCGTTCTTATTTTCCATACTCTGTACCTTCCATAACTCCTGCACCTTCTGTTCTGTGTTGTGGGGGTCTGAGCTACACACAGCCCTTGAAGCGTGGGCTCACTGAAGCGGAGGTGGCCAGGTCTGGGTGGTGCAAAGATGGCAGCAGGAGTCATGGATGAATGAGGGAATGGGGCTCTTCGGTGCCTGCAGAAGAGGTGGGATGAAGGAGGGAAGGAAAGGATAATCTGAGAGGAAGAGCAGTGAGGTTTAAGCATGAAAATGCTGGAGAGCAGTGACTAGAGACTAGAAAACACTGCTAGTGTTTTCTATCATCTGGTGTTCTTATGATCCGTATCTAATTTTTCAGGGTGTCCCAAAACCAAGTTGGACAGCATTTCACTTTTGTGCTCACCGACATTGAAAGTAAGCAACGGTTTGGATTTTGCCGTTTGACGTCTGGAGGCAAAGTCTGCCTCTGTATTCTGAGGTAAGCTGCATGTGAAAAATGGAGTAGAGAAGTGAATATAGGACAAATGTAATATCTCTTCAAATCTGTTAATACTTCTTCTCAACAGTTATTAATAATATTTACTATTATCAGTACACTGTTTCTTTTCAATGATGTTACATTGATTTCAGATGAAAAGTGGTCCCAAGTTCCATACGATGGTTTCAATTTGTATAACACAGGAATTTTACACTCTAGCTTTGCAGGCTTTGAGCATTATGTGGATATTTTTAATTTTTAATGGAGCCTTTGGCAAGTATCCAGTTAGTTTCATGATGAAATACACAATTCTATATTCCTGTACTTGGAAGCAATTTTCAGGTGTCTTCCACCTTTTACATGTAAGAAACTCCAGAATGAGATGAATCATCAATGTACAGCATGGCACTGTGGTACAAAATTGACACTGAGAATTAGGAAATTGACCTAATTTAAATATTTTTTTTTTCTTTCTGGTTATTCTTTATTTTTCTGTAAAGTAATAGGTTCAGTGATGAAGGGGGGGGGGGGGGGGGGGGAGGAGGGGGAGGGAAAGGTAAGCTAAAGTCTTTTTGTATTGTGCTTTATTTTAAAGCAAAATTGCCTTCAAGTATTCAAGTAATAATCTGTCAGCATGCAGTACCTATGGAGGAAATGGGGGCATCTTTTCTGGAACCCTTCTGACATCCAGAGTTTTAAACTGATTCCAATCTATTGTTTGGAGTGCTTGTGCAGTGGTTCTTCTGGGGTAAAGGAAAAATTTTGGGAGGGATCACATGGAGCCAATTAATTTCCAACAATACTTCTGTAATAATGCTGCATAATGATTTAGTTCAGGCATTTGGAGGATAAAATACTTAACCCTTTTTGTTGCGGCATTTTTTGTTGATGTGTCTTGTTAAGCACTGTAGAGAATGTATGCATATGCTTCTAGCTTTTTTTTTTTTTTTTTTTTTTTGAGTTAAATTTTTCTTCCTTCATCAAGCTAGAAACAAAATTTGATTCTTACTCCTAACCTTGCCTGTCTAGATTCTAATGCTGCAGTACCAATCACAGAATGGCCTGCATTGAACAGTATCACAACAATCATATAGTTTCAACCCTCCTGCCCACGGGCATGATTGCCAACCACTACACTGTGATGCCCAGAGCCATGTCCAGCCAGGCCTTGAGTGCATCCAGGGATGGGGCTCAAGTGTGCATATTTAATTACTGTCTATAGTACTGCAAAGAAAAAGGTGCATGTTCTCAGCTGGTGTAAACTAAGGTATTTCTTTTAACGTTTCCTCAGAGACATACATCAGAGATTAGCCAGTGGTCTGTTACTTGACAGGAATAAGTAGGAAAATGAAAAGTGGCAAGCTATAATTTTTCACTGAATCTTAATCAAAACATTGCCTTTATTGCTTTTATTGTGACAATTTCAAATTTACAATGCAACACTGAGTGCATAACAGCATTAGCTTCATGGAATTGTACTTCTAGATTGGTAGCCCTTTTCTCTCCAGTTTATATGTTAATTTGAAATAGTGTTTCTTGGACAGAAAGAATGAATTAATGTTTTCATTGGAGTGTCTTCATATCTGGTCTGGTTTCTCCAAGATTCGTTAGGAATGACCGAGTGAAAGAAGACCCACTAGCGTACTCCTATTGGCATTTATTCTGTCTCTGCCTTGTTCATATTTATCTTCAATTAACCAATATGAAAGACCTTTAAATGAAGGGTTGCTGTCTTAATATGTAAAGATTTTGTACACGTGTGCACAGTTGCTTCTTCCATATTTCAAAGTCTCATTAATGTACATTCAGTGTGTATATACACAAAGACACTTCTGTAAGAACAGTTCAAACTACATATGTCTGTCACACGTCTAGTAATATTGAAGTTTATATAAACACACAAATGTGGGTGTACAAAAATGCCATATCTAACTATCACCCATCTACATATGTACTTATTGTGTATCTCCACTAAGAAGAGGACTATGTTTAAACTGCTGGCTGAGGCTTTAACACAGACTAGAGGCAGTTGAGTTTAAAAAAACTTCACTGATAGTAGTAGGAAACTAAAATCCAAGTAAAAATATCTTAAAGGAATGGCAGGAACAAGCTAATCATAGTGATGAGAAAGAAATTCTATAAAAATTTGGGTAGTCTGATGAGTAGAGAACAGAATACAGCAAGTCTCTTGTGAATATCTTTTGTGGGTGGTATCAGTTCATGTGTTAACCTTTGCCAGGCTGGCGAAGTATAGGGTTTTCAACTGCAAAGTGAAGAAAAGGCTACTTGTCCTGAAACTGTATGCAATCAATATAAAGCTGCTCATGAAATTAGGTCTTGTAGCTTATCTCTCTATAATTCATTTTCTTTCCTTCTTATTTGAAATGCTAATTAAAGGAAATAATTTTTGAATTTTCTGCCATGTAGTGCTACATTAAACTGGAGAATTTTAAGCGGGACATTTACTTGGGTTGTAGATACAGGAATACTGTAGATGCTTCATGGTTTTGTACACTTGATATACACAGAATGTGAACAGAATTCTCTCTGAGGTCAGAGTAAGTGCTAATACAGTGAAACAACTACACCTAATGTGGTTATCCCAGGCATTTTCATCTGAAGAAATTACTAGTGCTACGGTATGGTCAAAAACAGTCAAGCAGAATTTGTCTGTATTTGCCAAATTCAATGTGCAAATGAGTGCAAAATCGTAGTAAGGTGAGAGAACAAATCTTGGATCGTTCTTCAGAAATGTAGAGGGATTCCTTTGCAACTCTTTTGACTTGTTTGGTTTCCTCTGTTTTTAAATGACGAGGCTACTTTGTGTGAAGCTCTGGGTGTGAGTCCTGCTGTGCCACTTCCTTCTCCACAAACCATTGAGCTCATGTAGCCCCTAAGAACTTGGGTACCACAACAGGAGTATTGTAATGTATTTTTGTTCTTATATACCGTACTGGATGTTTTCTTCTTGTTCAGTTTTCCATATGTTAATTTTGGCAGCTCAGAATTGAAGTGGCGCAATAGAAGTTTTATATAGAAACAATACCCAAAATAATTAAGTATCTGCTATTTATATCTCTGCTGTTTGTAGTAGGAATAATGCTTTGACTTTACAGTGAACTGATTTTGAATTACTTGAATGGTTTTAATATGTAATTTATGTAACTTTTCTTTATTAAAAATCTTGAAACTGTTGAATGTGGAGTTGACCTTATGTACCTAGAGAAATGCAAAATGCATCATTAAAATTTTCAGTCTTAGATTTCATTAATTTTTACGACTGTAAAATTGTCACCTATGTTTCCAAATGAAATGCTATAATAAAGAAGACAGGTTTATGTGGTAACTCTTTGTAGTTCTTCAGTTCAGGCCATTCTTGAAGCTTTCTCTCTCTTCCTTTAGGCAAATCCCTTAGAAGCAGAATGTTTCAATTTTACACATTTTGTGTCAATTTTCCAGACAGAAAAGTAGCCCCTAGACATTAGACATTTAGCTACGGAAAGGCAGTTTCCTTAGTTTTATTTGATTACTAGAAGTTAGATTCCTGCTGATAGTTCAAGACTGTTAGTGGTTACCTGACTATTTGACAGAAAACATTTCCTTTCCTTTATTTAACCTTTGACTCATGAATGTAAAAGTTTTATCAGAGTTATAGCAGAAGCACAAGTGAGGTGGAAGTCTACTTACTGCAACAAGGGTTATGCACGACTTTGGGTAAAGTCTGAGCTCCTGTCTTGTGGCTCATTTGGATTAAAAGAAAATGCTAAGTATGTTTCTAATTAGCCATGAAATATCTCATGCTTGTGTTTTCATGACAGGCAGTGGCTGTACTCTTAAAGACCACTGTATTCTAAAACAGGAAATAGTTATCTTTTAAAACAGTCGTGTGTATTTTGATATTCTTCTTTGTTGTGTGAAGGCAACTTCATAGGAGTTGGAGGTTTTCATACGTTTGTCTTGTACATTTGTTTCTCAAAGGAGTATTAGTTGTAACGTGCTGTCTGTGAAGGCAATGTGTACAATTAAAGAGCAATGAGAAAGCAGTAATCTCATTTGAGAATCTATGTTCTTTTTATTTGATGAAATCAGATCTTGATGGTCTTCGCTTTCATGCTGTAGATGTTTTGATTTGTCTTAAATTTTCAAGTTTAAGTAGCATGCTGAGATTATATTAACATAGTATCTACGGTACTTAAATGTTTAAAGCAATTCTTTATCTAGTTTTTCACCTCAGAAGGAAGTTGGTATTTTTAAACTATGTGCAAACAGTCTGGTTTTTTTTACAGTGTATGTGTCTGTGATTATGTGTAGATCTGAATGTGTATCATCTCCCTCATCTTGCTAAGAGAGCAAGCTCATGTAAGAGTACTTGGGTCAGCATGCCTTACCCTTCCCCGGTTTTGTGCTCGAGTTCATTAATTTCAAGTAATGAAATTGGCCTCATGTATCTATTCAAAAACTAAATTTTAGTTTTTGCAATAAGAGGGGAGCAGATATCATAGATACATGACAGAAATATTGTTCCTACTTCAATAAAATATTAACATTTAAAGCACGCTGATCATAAATGTTCGTTATGAAAAACAAACAATCAGATAAGATTTTAGAATATTCTACAATAACAAAAAAAATGATATGCTTGGATGATATAGCCTGCTACTGCTCAGGTGATGGCAAAACACTGGAAGGGTTTAAATGATGTAAACTATTCCTGTATCTATGCTTATAAAGGTGTTTTTTTTTTGCAGTTTGCACCTTGTAGTTTGACTTGGATGAAGTGGTTGAGCCACGCTCTGATCTCTGCTGCAGCTGGGGGCTGGCAGAGCAGTTTGCTAGCTGCGATGTCTGCGGGGACCCTGGCGGTTGTGCCCAGCAGTTTTGTTTTCATGTCCAGGATGAGGGAAATGTGATTTCAGAAGGTCATAGGTCAGGAGTTCCAAATGGAATAAAATTCCGAAACCAGTAGGCTTAGGAGCTACTGCAACAAGGATGCGCAATGTTCAGGCCCAGAAGCAGTGAGTGGTAGTATGGAGGTGTGGCTGTCCGCTTGTTCTTCACTCTAAGAACTGGAGTCTATTTCTAAAGCCTTACCAGCTGCTTACTGAGAATGGAGCTATTGCAAAGGAAGTGTAACACCTTGCTCTGCTCACTGGACAAAAGTAGCCTTGGCTTCTGAAACATCCAAGATTTCCCCTGGTGGATTCCACTTCTGTGTTAGGGAAAGCTTAGGGATAAAATGAAATAAAAATCTTTCAGTCTTTACTTCCTCTCCTGTCCCACATGAAAATATGAACAAGCCATATTAATCATGCTTTTTGTTTTAGTAATGTGTTTTTTATTTGTGGAAAAAACTCTAAGAAAGAAACTAGAAGGTATCTAATTTGTAAGTAAGGAATAATTTATACTTGTCTGGTGAACTACATATTGCATCTGTATCATAAGCTTAAGTAGAGACTATGGGAAGCTCTGATGTCACAGTTAAAGGTAAATAATCTGTAAATAGATGACAGAAAAAAAAGGCAATAATGATACTGAGCTTCTCTTCTCATACCCTTCAGTTATGTCACATTTATCTTGGATTCTATTTAACTAATCAAATATTGCACAAATATGGGTTGCAGACTTCTGGTAGGAGCCTTTGAAATAGTGGTATTATTGTGCTTGCAGTATCAGTAAATGCTCAGCTGTTTATAGAAATTGCTACTATGTATAGAAGTGGCTTCATAGAGGGAAGACTTCATATATTCTTGTATATATGTGGCATCTGTGCTATTCTGTAGCGATGCACGAATTGCCTGATATGGGGTACTGGCTCTGCCTAGGTAGATGGTTTGTGGCAGTCTGCCCAGGCACAGCAGAGTGTAGAATGTCAAAATAGCAAGTAAAATTACCAACACAACTACTGAAAGCTTTAATAGACAATGGGACTGTGATTTAAAGCTGTTTGACAGTGCTTAAAGAGATTTTTTTTTTTTTTTTGGGTGGGGGGGATGCATTTAGCGTAATGAGAAGCAAGAATATTATAAGCTAATCTACATGCACATGGGACTTAAAGTAGATTTCCACCTTACTGTGTAAAGTGAATTGGTATACATAATAGATCTGAAGTACTGAGGTGTCAGCTTTATAATAAAGCAAAACCCAAGTCTTACCAAATAGGTTTGGTTAGTAGATAGATTGTAAAGGAGTAGAGCTTTGCTACAACCTATCAGTGATGTACCATTAAGCTGAAGTTTGTGAGAAACAGGTTTATAAGCATTTTATTTACATGTAAAAATGCAAAAATGTACTAGTCATTTTATGGTAGGTTTCATAAACAGTGGAAAAGTACACTGATATCTTAATGTTTCTTTCTTTCCTCTCCCTTTTTAGTTACCTACCCTGGTTTGAAGTATACTATAAGCTTTTAAATACTCTGGCAGATTATTTGGCTAAAGAGCAGGTAATTTTACATTTTACATAGTCTACTTCTTTGTGTGAAAGATTTTGCAGCAGTAACAGTACCAAATAATGGTCACTACTTCAAGTGCCATAAAGTGATTCTTCACTGTTTAATTTTAAGTAAAACTTAGTGCAAGTAAAAGTCATTAAACTTGTTATACTGGAGTTCAATCAATGTGAATGTCGGGCCACAACTATCACTTGAATATCACATGAATCTTAGAAAGCTGCTGAGAATCTACCTTTCTGAAGTGTCAGTCTTGGTATAAACAAGTCCTGGGTGAAGTGTGAGCAAAGTGTTACATCACTGGAGAACTCTATGATGCATTGATTGTAAACTGTAGATTTCTGGAACTATCTGATTATCAGTTACAAACACTTTTTTTTCAGAACTGCATAAAATATGATGTACTGTTTCACCCTTCACATTAACTAAAAACTACCTCTCGTAATTCTGTCATCTCAACTAGCAAGACAAAATTGCTTGCAACATTTGGTGAAGAATCATGATAGTTTAGTTTGCATATTCATGAGCAATTAAACGTATTCCAGGATTATACAGGGAAGGAAGTAGTGGCATCTGTTTTTATGGAGAACACTGTAGCCATGTCTTTCTGATTTAACTGCATTAGACTACTAGATGGAAATTTAAAAAAGGAAAGACATCAATGGATGGCCATATGCTGATTGGAAAAGCTGATGTTGAAAAAACAGATGAACTATTTATTAAGCAGTTATTATGCACTACAGTAAATGGACTTCATGTAATAAATAGAAACATTATTCTAGATGTTGGATTAGTTAAATGTATTCTGTATGTGTAGTTTCATCACCAGTAGTTTGAATCTTTAAACTGAGCTTTGTATTTGTCTCTTATTTCACTATAGCAGTAAAATGGTTATTAAGGAGGTATTTGACCTCAATAGGAAAATGGGAATCATTTTCTCCTCTGCTTCTGCTCCACTGTTCAGTGGTTTTGGCATTGTACAATTGCTTTAAGTTGCTAGATTAGGCTTGTTGTGCTGTATACTGAGAATCTCAGTATTGATGATCAGAAAGTTTTAGCAGTGTGTGGAAGTATGTGCTTCATTGTACTGCTTCATACCGTATATGCAACTGAAGAGGCTGTCATGCTTTCCCAGGCACTGTGTGACCAAGAGTGTACAATTCAAGCATAGCTGCACATTTAACAAGGTTTTTTTGTTAGATGAATACCATGGCTAACTCTTTTAGGAAGACTAAATATCCATTTTAATGCTATTTTCAGTTGCAAATAATAACTAAAAAATAACTAATTTGTGGAGTATATGAGGAAAAATATAAGGATTTTTCTAACATAAATGAAGTTGGCTTGACTCATATTTAAATTATATTTAATTACTTCATGGGAAATTGCAGTTGTCTTTCTCACTAAATATGTGTATGATATAAGTTGTTTGACATGTAGTAAATTGTAATAATTCTTTTATGTAATGATTAATTACTTTTAAAAAATATTCCCTTTAGGAAAATGACTCAAAGGATTTGTTAAAATCTTTGTATAGCCAACCTGTGCCAAAGGCAAATGCTTTGGTCAGTTTAAGTGTGGTAAGTATTCTCTGCATTATTCCTAATTCTATTGCCTAATCCAAAATGCCTAATTATGGTTAAAACAATCCTTTTGTAAACTTTAATCTTAGATGGCTTTCCATCATTAACTGGCTTGGATAATCTTTTTAAGCTTTGATATTTTTTTTTCTGCGCAGAATAGTTTCTCTCTATCTGGAGTTGTTCTCTTAAAGTCAGTCAAAAAGAAACAAATTGGATTTTTCTCTGTGAATGAAAAAGGAAACTGAGGTGGATTGTGGGATCTAGTACTGCTAGAACTACTACTTTGTGTTTCTTGCTCTTTCTTGCAGATAATTTTACATTTTTTTCAATTGTCTATAGAGTCCTAGTATTTTCATTCTTCAAACAATAATAATCCACTGTGTCTTGAAGGCCTTGCAGTCTTGCATGGTGTTTCTCACCAGAACGTACAGCTGTTTTTTGAGGCTACAGTTTGATTTTTTTCAGTGTATTTGTGTATGTATGTGCATACGTATATTTGTTTTGTCCTTATAACAAATGTTATTTTTCAGTATGTAACAGAAATTAAAATCATTTGTTCAGAATGACATAATATTATATTATATGAACCTACAGTAGTACCCTCTGGTATATGGAATAATATTTTACTGTTGCTAACTGCAGTGTTATAAGCAGTTCTAATTTAGAAATCGTAAAACACTTAGTAACATCCTTTAAAAATCCTCCTGTGTTTCAGTAGGACATAAATTTTTAAGATTTTTTCCCTTTTGTTTCCTGGAAAGCTTTGCTGTCAGTGCTGTGTTTCATCTTGTACAGAGCTTTCCTATCTCAAATGAATGTTGTGGTGAACTTTGGAGTGGAGGATACAACCAGCAACATTGGGATGACAAATTGCTTGCAATTAAGTTGATGCTTGCTGGTTTTATTTCAATATTAGTTGACGTTTGAATTTATTTTTTCTCAGCTGTCTCTTGTTCCCAGTAGTTTGTTCCATGAAAGAGTTTTGTTATCTTTTTAGCTGAACAATGATAATCCAAATGTGGGCTGGTTGCCAAACGCTTGGCTGCAGGCACAGATGAGCAAGTACTGTGGGTTCAGGCAGGGAAAAGCAGGATGGAATAGGTTCCCTTGAATCAAAATGTGTTTTGGATCTTCAGGCATCTATTTTCATAAGCTCAGTGCTGCAGGGAGTAGGGAAATGTTTGTGGCCACTTTCAACTCTAACTTTGTGTGTCAATCTTTATATCAGTGTCTCTTTCTGTCTTCTTGTGTATTGTAAATAGGCAAGAGTGGAACAGTCAGCGGTCATAGACTTAAAAGAAGCTATAGTCTGAAAAATAATTGTAGGAATAACAGCATGAGGTTGTCTTTCATGGTGCCAGGATGAGTCTAGATCAAATTTCATGAAGCAGAATTAAAAAGATTCATCTCCCCAAATACTCAGATATGCAGAGTAAGGCTCCTAGACATTGAACTGGGGCTTAAATGGCAGACCATGATGGTACTTAAAATTATGTGTACATAATAATGCATAAAATATGCCAGTATCCAGATACATGGTTTTTCACAGTAAATTTCAGTAAGTAGGACACTAAAATGCCTTGATCTATTTAAGAACCATGTTCTTTCCTTGCACCTCTGTCTTGTTACAAGCAATCTTTGATTCTATGAAACTTCCTGTCTCTTCCATTTTACCCATGGAGGGCCAACAAGAGTGCTTTTTCTTTTGTTGGAAAAGTTAGCTAAGCATGAATTTAGATGGGGGTGAAACATACAAAATAAAGCATATTCTCAGAACACATTTTAGACATGGGAAGCATTGGAATCATCTTTGCTCTATTGAAAAGCTAAAAAAATCAATTCAATCTTTCTCTCATATTGCATAAGAACCAAGAGATGATTTTTGCGAGTAAGCAAGTTTTGAAAAAAGAGCCTTGCCTTGTGTCGGTGAGTTTAAAAGGCACTATCTAAAACCTATTGTAATTAAAGTAGTGATTACTTGCTATAGGATATGTTTTCTGATTTCAGGCTTATTTATACTAACCTTTTGGAAATTCTGCTCTAGTCTATAGCCTAAAAGAGCATTATTAACCTTCTGTTTAAACCAATCTAATTTCAGAGTATAACCAAAATCAAACACTTAAACTTAATGAAATTTGCATTTTCTAGTTTTCCTTTTTTACAGAAGACTTTATACAAGACAGCAACTATTAATTTAGTATGTTTTTCATGGTCATACGCACCCTCCTAAGGGAGTTCTAAAAGATATGCGAGGACTCCATACCATGTTATTTTTGCTGCTTTATGGTTCTTAATGGCTTCAGTAATGCATCTTTGCTTCTCATAGCTCTAACTTCCTTTTTTGTTCAGTGAGTGAAGTATTACTAACTTCTTAATTATGAATAATTACTAGTCCAAGTTATTAAATCCATTAATCAGAAAATGTGTCGTTGAATTTTCTGCACTCTTATTAAATATAGAAAACAATTTTCTCATCTAAGAATGTACTCTTTAAGAATGTACTGCATTAATCTGAGTATTTTCCTATTCCTGACTACAGAAAAGACTTGACTTTTTTTTTCCTGTTGATGTTTAAAAAAAATAAAATAAAATCCTGGAATGTCTCGTGCAAATGCAGTGATGCTTTTTTTTTTTTTTTAAGTTAGTGATGGTTTTTGGTTTTTTTGTTCTTGAGCTATTGACAATTGATCTAATATGTGGAGAAAATTTTCTATTCAATAGAAAAACCAGTATCAAAATGGTTTAATAAGATCCTCCTACACAGAGTATATTGTATTAATATATTTTTTTGCTTGAACACCAGACACTATCTTAGACTTATTTTTTTGTTCTGTTGTATCTTTCAAGTTTGACTTAAACTGTTTTTGTGTTGCTAATAATGATAAAAAAATCTGCAGTATAAAAGCAGAGATCTTAAGAAAATTTAAAAAAGCCTTAAAATAGCAAAAGCTAGAAATTCAATGGTTATTGCATTTACTTAATATCTACTTCAAGGTTTTTTGTCCTTCAAGTCTTAGACTAATTATGAAAAATATCTTAAAATTATGGAGTTAAATCTGTATTTGACTACTAAAAGCACTGGATTAAGGAGAACAATTTAAACTACATCTGTTTTCAGTTTAGTGCATTTTATGTTAACATTCTAACTGGCCTCAAACATAAGATTATAAAATTGTGGATGTTTTTCATAAATGATTGTGGAATGTCGAGCTGTCAGACCTTGGATTTCTATTAGCACATTTTGGATTTGAAGATGTTTGGAAAGAGACAAGCCTGCATATTAAGCAATAATATTACCGTTCTCATTAATTGTCATGTAAATGATTTTTCCTTACTCGTTGTAAATTTACATTTTGTTCTTTAACATTTATTTTTGTGCTTGAAATTTTTAAAACCAGTGCTGAAGCTACTCTGACATGAGACATTTAAAACTGGCTTAATTTCATTCTAACAGCACCACAGTGTTTTGTTCACTTGGTTTGTGTGCTGTATTAAGCCAGAAATTGTGATTTCAAGATGTGATTTGCTTAGTTATTTGTCTGGTAATAGTAAGAATCCTACTGGCAACCTGGCTATTTGCTTAAACAAAGATGGGGTTGGAAATCCTAAATGTGAGATATTTTAAAAATAATTTTGATTGCTGTGTATATAAATTATTCATTTTTTTTCCCATTGATTAGCACTTGTATTTCATTACTCCTGATATAACTGGATTGCCAACAATCCCTGAAAGTGTAAGTATGCAGTTTCTTTTTAAGAAATTTGGAAGTATAAGCCTCATTCTTTCAATAGGGCTGTACTCTGCTTTTATCAATAGGTGGATTTTTCTGTGACTGTTTTTAGAATATGATTGATGTCTATTATTATAACCTTTAGCTAGTAAAGTTACTCTTGCATGCATTGTTAAAGCGTTGTACATTTTTTGAGCATTACTGTCTGCCTTTTTTTCATAATTACTTTGTTTGCATTTATAGGGGTTATATATGCAAAACATTCTACTTACATAGCTAGTGTTGTTTGAATATCTGCCCTTTAAACGCTGCTTTGCTAAGCTGCAAATTTAGCTATCAAGATAGGCAGTTAATTTTTGTTTAAGAAGGCATTGTTTCAGGCTTTTGGAAAAACATACTGTACCTGCTCATATATGGATGATAACCAGAAATAATTACTGTTATTTTTTAATGAAGGCTTTTGTTCTGTAGAAGCTGATTTCTTGGTAGTGCTGCAGTACAAATGCAGAATGTCAGATCACGTCCTTGATGATGTGTTTAGATAGAAGGTATTTAATTGGCTACCTAACTTTCTGCTTTCTAGTTCTGCATTAAATTGGGAATTCAACAAGACTTTATAGGTTTGCATTTTTACACTTTCACATGGTGACTTTCTTCTGAAAGTTAGATGTTTTGGTGACTGTGGTGGGTAAACTGCAGTATAGACATTGTCCCTGGGATGCAGGAAAGGTTGGAGCTGAAAGGCAATGGGGCCGTACAAGCATAGGCTGAGAAGTTCAAACCTGCAGGTAGTGGGAGGTTATTCCTAGCAGGGCTTAGCCCAGTCCTAAGCTGGTGGCAGGGGACCCAGGGGGGATGCTGGAGTCTTGGGGTAACTCAGAAGTCTGTAGGAAGTTGCTGCATTGAGATGAAAGGGCCCAGGGTGGGGAGTGGCTCTTTTAGTCAGGACAAGGATTAGTTTTTAGATGTTTATTTTCATATTTCTCTCTTCAGATTGAATTCCACTGTTTGTAAGAAATCTTCTGTTTTAACATATTCTTTGGTCTCCTACTAAAGCATAGCTTTGGAGGTTGGGAGATATTTAGTATGTTCAACTTGAAGAAAATGGGGAGGTTTCATTTAGAGTTTCTGGGTGAGTGAGGTTCTTGCAGTGGTATTGCTGTGGATGTGCTCTGCTGATTCTGGGGAAAGCTGTAAAGTAATTGTCAAAGTGCCTTTCTATACTATTAATGTTTTTTTAACTCTGTTTATGAAATACCCGCTCTTCCAGTATCCTCAAAATGGCAGAGGGTAGAACATGTAGGAGTTAAGAGGTGAGATAGATACAGTAAATCAATAATACAGTGACTCTACCTTGTTCTTTGCTGTAAGTTTCACAAACTTCTGGAGCAATATCTTTTCAGCTCTAATGCAGACATAACTGTGACTGACTCTCAGAGAAATGTTGTTCTATACAAGATGGCCAACTTATTTACCATGGCATGTGCAGAACAGAATCAGCATGTCATTATCAACTAAAATATAAAGGCTGCCCTAGATAAGGGGGACTTAAATTACCTTTGCACATCAGCTTCTGACAGCCCATTAAAGGGATGCTTGGAGGACCAGAATCTTTCTAAATGCTGCATTTGTGGCCCTTAACACTCTCAATTCAGCTTCCAAATACCTATGCAGGATGGACCCAGAGTAACTCCATGCTCTGTGTCTTTGAATTAATAATACATTTACGAGTTTACATAAAACTGTTTAATTCATTGGATCGTCTGCCATTTCTTCTAAGAAATTCTCATTTAATATTGAAATGTATCTGAAAAGGAATTGAATCTCCTGGTCACCATCCAGGTTTTCTCTCAGGTTAGGTTTCCCTCGTTATGGCCTACAAGGAACTGGAGCAGCAGCTGCTCAGCAGTGGCTCTGGATCACACAGCATTCCCTGCATTGTTGGTGGCGGCTGTGTCACAGTTCTGAGCCTCAGGAGCATGTGCTGCCCTCAGGCCTTCATTCTTCTGTCATGCCCTCACTGTCTTTCTGGGATAAAAGCCCTTGCTGTCTCTGCTGACCCCACAGCTAGTGTAAGCTGAGTTTCACTGCTCCAGCTCCTGTCCTTGGGCTGGTAGATGCCAATGGTGGGCTCCTGTGTTAGCATTCAGGGGTATGCTGTTTCTGACAGGTCAATGGAGGTTCTGGTTGCAGGTGTGGTAATGGACATGCGAAATTAGGAAGTCAGATGTATATTTTGTATGTTGTGAGGTGAATTGGTATATTTTTGTACATATCCCCCAATAGTTATGTTTGCTGTTTTTCTATGCGTTTTTGCGGGTGGTCTTCAGACTAATTCAGAACCTGTATTTCTCTGGTTCTGTGCCACACAGAAATATTAAGTTCATCTGGAACACAGAGACCCACCCACCTGACACACCCCCCCTTTTTTTTTTTTTTTCCAGTTCCCCCACTTTTATATTATCTGACCTATGAATAAAATGTACTGGTGGCTTTATTTCTTGTTAAATTCCATAGAGGTACGCTCACAACCTTCTACTACAGCTGGCTGTTTTTTGCGCGTTTTTCTTCCCAACAAGCTGGTTTGTTTTCCTTGAAGTAGAATAACATGTGCTCACCTTGGGAGAGACTGGCAAAATATTGTGGTTTTATTGTCATAACTATGGCAGAGCAGTTATTGTGGTGCTGGGAGATCCGTTCCTGGCTGGAAGTTACAGTTGCTAGCATACATTGCTATTGATGTGCTATATATTCGGTTATTTAGATTCAGAAAGTGGACAACTCTAATTTCAGAAGCATTACCAAATAATCTTCAAATCATCAAAGTAATAGCTTGTTCCAAAGCTAGATCATCACTAGCTTTAAAATTCTATTTACTATTTTTAGAGCATATGCATTTTAATGTAGATTTCCTTAATATTTTTTTTCTACCAATTAATTGGTCAAATTTTCTGGTATACAGTGTATTAATGTTTTTCTTAGCTACCATTGGCACTATATTGTTAACATCTTATTTATTTAAACAGAGAAACCTCACTGAGTATTTTGTTGCTGTGGATGTGAACAACATGCTGCAACTTTATGCCAGTATGTTGCATGAGAGAAGAATCATTATTACCTCGAGCAAACTAAGCACTGTAAGTACTTCACACGTCTCCTTTTCAGTAGAATATATTGAGCATTTCACAAAATGACCTACAGACCTTTGTGGTTTTAGATATGTTCCATGTGTACTCATAAGACAATATCTACATACTTTTCTGATATATGGTTTTAGTCTGGCTCTTGAAGTACAAAAGTCTGATTTATATAAGACCTACTCAGATACATTAAGTCAGGTTAATTATTTTCCTTATCAGTAGATGAGAGTTCTTTAACTCTCCTGAGCTCATTTCTGTGCCTTCTAGCCTAAAAAGAATTCTTAAGGGCTATTATAAGATCTTTATTATTCACTTGTGGCTTATTCCATTGGAGCTACTTGAAAGAAATCAAGGGGCCATAATAATAGCTGCTATCCTAACCTGGTAATAGGTAGATTCATCTTTCTTAGAATGGCTTGGGAGTGCATACTGTAATAGCTCTGATTTGGAGCAGCTCTTCAGACTTATAATAGCATACAACTCAAAATAGCATTTTATTATTAATAAAGGATTTAGACTACTGCCACATTAGATGTTTTTTTTTCTTTCCTTTTACCTGTGTAGACTGCTTAATAAAAGCATGTTGCATTTCATTTTGAAACTAGATATAAATATTCAGGTGTTAATTTTGTTCTAATATTTTTCAGAATCTAATGAGGCTTTAGAATCCCCTATATTTTGAATATATACCAAATATTAACTTTGCGTTACTATGAGACTGTTGCTTTACAAGCTACTTTTGTCATTGGTTTTATTTGCTACACAAATTATTTGGCTTGTTAAGATCAGTCCTTAAAAATACCTTATATTTTTCAAAAGTATCCATAAAACACGTTGTTTTATGTTGTTTCTATGGTAGGAGACCAAAGTTCTATTTCTAAATGCTACTAATTCTACTACTCAATAAGCGAACAATTATTTTCAACATATACACACAAGTTTGGGTATAGTATTAAAAATTTGTATTTTCCAAGACATGTGGATGCTGATTTCCAGTAAATGTGTGTGTATAACGAGTGAGAAATGTTGGACTGTAAATAGTGGATTAAAAGCCTTTAACTTCTGAGTCTAAAGCAAACTCAACAGAGGATTAAGAACCATCATGAAAGGCTGAGAGTTTTTACAATTCTAGATATTAGCAATTGATTAACACATATATACATAAATAAATTTATATATTATATTCACTGTGATTCTTAATATTGTATATATCTAAATATATAGTACACATGCTATATACAGTATACATAATCCATAAACAAATATATACAGTATATGCTATGTATAAAATACTACATTAATGATAATTTGCAGAATGTGGAAATAATTAAGACTATTAATTAGGGAATGAAAGAAACATGAGGTCATATAATCAGAAGCCAAATGAACAACTGTAAAACCTGTAAAATGAGTAGTGAATGAATATATTCAGTCTTTAAATTAACGTACTGTGATATATCTTTTAGGCACCAAAGATTTTACTCTATCTTATGACATTTCCATATTCTTTCTATTATTTCCTGTGGAACTGGTCATGGGAAGAATTGAGCATTGCAGTAGAGTAATAAGGTGACCCTAGTGGGCATCAAGAATTTCAAGGGAAAGCCTCTTCAAAGAACCTGACTTGGTACAAGTTCAGGCAATGCAGTAAAAGGAAACATGTAATTGATTTGTTTTATTATTTTTTTGCCAGTTTGGGACACATCTTGGTATGAAAAATGAAAGAAAAAAATATGCCATAAAAAAATACCCTCAACTGTAACGATGCTTCAGCCAAACCCCTCTTACTGCTCCAGCAGTGAGAAAATAGGAATCATGATGGCAGCTCTGTGCCTGTGGAAGAGGGTCCTGCAGGTGGGCATGTGTCAATGTGCCTCACAGGATTTGCAGTTGTACTCTCAGCCTACATTTGGATCTTTTTAAGGCATATTGTTGTTCAGCTCAACATCTCAGCTGGCCTCTGTTCCTGTGATGTGACAACAGGAGAAATAGTACCAGAATTACACTGCGTTCATGTACACCACCTTATTTCCACTTTCAGATTCCAAACGACTTCATTCTGGTTATTTTTTCCAGTCTTCTAATATTATGTAAGTTGAATTTAAATGAAATTGCTGCTACATTGTGTAGCATTTTCAATACAGGGCTAGGCAAAATTTTTCTTACAGAAGTGAGATATAATAAAACAAGTGAGTAGTGCTGGCTTATCAGGAGTTTCAGAGAGAATCTGCTTAGCATTTTCATAAACAGAACAGGAGTGATGCTAGGCTTCCTTCCTTACAGAACAGTAGAATTTAAAAATCAAATAAAGCACTTCTCAGGATCTCCTGGAGGATTCAGTTGAATAGCTAAGAATCATTCAATATTTTTTACACGTTTCTTCTTTAAAATGTTGGAATGCCTTATACAGTACAGGTAAGCAAATGGCATGTATGCGAGCTCTATGCAGCAGATTGTTGTGCTGTGAGAGTTGCACTTCAATATTCCTGAAATACAGCTTGATATATATAGCACTCGTTTTGGAAGAATGATCTTTGCTAAGTGCAACTTTCTGTTAAGGGAGTTGTGCCTTATCTCTGAGGTTAACTGAATACCAAGTGTTTATGTCAGTTCATGGGGTTTGGGTTGTGATGTCACCTCCAGTTATCACTTCTGCTTTGGTTCGCTATCTCAGAACAGGGACTGATAAAGAGAAAGGCATAATTCAAGGCCATGCTTAGTTTTTCCTCATCCTTGTTGAGGGGAGGAGAGAAGTGTAGGGAGAGGGGTAGAGGACTACTCTGTAACTGTAGCATTGTTGCCCTGTGAATTTCATGCTTTCATTACTTCAAGTAAAGGATCAGTCCTGGGAAAAGACAAAAGGGAAAAAGAAGGATGCAAGGATGCTTTTTTAAAAAGGTATACTTCAGTGGAAAAGGGAAACAAGGAAAAAAAGTTTCTTGCATTTGGCTATTGAATAGTAATTTAAATTTTTTAAAAAAGGTAATTACCAATTTATCTAAGAGGCTTTGATTCAGTTGTCAGCTTATATTTTATTTCAGCTAAGCGTTTGTTCTTTTGTAAGCATTTCATATTTACAATTGCCATGTAGTTATTGCATCTGTCTTTAAACTCTGTATATCCCTTTAAATACTCCTTTGATGGAGATATTTGTCTACTTGCCATACCAATTACTACAAAGGTAGAAGTGGAAACTTCCCACTGCTCCTTCCTGTAATAGCTTCTGGGTCATTATTTGACCTAAGTGTTGGTTCTTTTATGAGCTTGACTTTCCAGCCCCTTTAGTAATGTGATTATCACCAACCTCACAGCTTGCTTTAGGCTCAGTGTTAGAGTGAGACAGATTCAGCTAGCCTGAGGATTATGCTCTCTAAGATACATTTGCAGCAAAAATTGCCATTTCTGGCTTTTGAATGGTAAACTCAGGAAGAGAAACAAATTATCTGCTTTGAAATATACGAAAGAATGAATGAAACAAAGGAATTGATTGATTTGCGGTGCGACTGTTGTTTCATTTTAACTGTAAAAGGAAGACGTTTCCTAGATGCCATACTGTATATTCTTGCACAGCACTGTTTCCTCACTCCTCACAACATCTGCATGTATTCTTGTTAGGTGCATGGAGCTGTGAGAGTTTCAGTACAAATAAGTTTTTAATTTAATCTCACTATAAATTATTAAAGTGCTGGGGAAGGCTTTTCCAGAAAGGCTGAACTACAACATTGATTTTATGCATGCTGGAGGCAGGCCCTAGATGTTGAGGCCCCAAGTGCACCTGCTGTGGTAGTCTACCAGAACATCATACCATACTCTCATGTATTCAAAGCAAAGGAATAAATCATGATTTTACAACAGTGCATCAGTTGACTTATTGCTGTTTTGTGACCGGAGGTAGGAAGGATTGCTGTTTAAAGCCATGTCATCGGTTCTCAAGTCACTCAAGCATGAAAGCTTGTCATATGCCTCTGTAATTGTACCTCACCAGCCTTTCTCTAACTAGTCAGCTGGGGCTGTGCGTTTTGTCTCAAACACCCAGCTGGCCAGTGTCTGACAGGAGCTTTCTCATCATCCTGTCAGTAATATGTTAACTAGAGTGTATCTTCTGTGGCCTACAGTGGCAGGTGGAAAGGATGCTACACTTTAAAGCAAATGTCTAAACGTTATCTCCATTTTGACCAATATTTGTTTTAGGTAATACGAGTCTGATGTGTCAGAGTACTGTGGCTGCAGTGTTCTGCTTTGTGCTGGCTTCATTGGTGCTCCCTGTAAGAAGGAATGTATATGTCAATAAAAGACAGATTTCTTTTTTTATGTGCTGAAAGAGCACTGAAAATCGCCTCCATGCAATGTACGCTTGTTGTAGTATTTTTACTGTTGCTTATATGTGAAGAGAACTTTGTGCAGTTCACTTGGTTGTGCTAGTTGGTCTGAGCAATAGTGTTCTTTGCCTCCGCTGCCTTTTTGGGTACAGTTGTGCTCTCTGTGGTTAATCAAGCAATGGGAAGTTGAGAATGCTCCTTGGAGAACGTGATGCAGGTGAACAGCTGAGTGGGGGGCCAAGCAATTCTCACTTGAACACGTTATTTTTGTGAGTCATATCACACCTTTTACATCTAACCCAAAATCTAAGACTCTGGAGTTGATTCCAAAATCCGTTTGTCCCAAAACAGCAATACTATCAACTGATTCAGAAGGCAACTGCAGTGTTTGTCTATTTCTCACATTTCATTTAAATTTTCTTTGTGGTGTATGTGTTGCAGATTGCTGGGTATACTTAAAAAATGAGCCAAGAAGTGCTTTGTGACTGGGCCAGATAGCTGAGGTGTGATTTTAGGAATGCAGTGCACATTAGTGTGGAGCCTAGCAAGATACAGTTCTTTTGTTTTGTTTTTAATTGGTGTACAAAGCTGGCTATTTATGGAGATGTTTCTCTGCTGCAAAGTAAAGATCCAAAACAGTGAAAGAATTGGCTCTCTACAAGCCTTCCAGGTTGGGAA